CTGCGAGGCGAGGGACGCGGTGAGTCAGGCGGGTGTGGGGCCGGGGCGGGACGGGCCGCGGGGCCGGGGCCTCTGCGGGGGCCTCCGCCCGCCTCTGGGCTTCCCGGAGAGCTTTTCCGGTGGGTGTTGCGGAGCTTTCCCGACTCCCACCTGGTTGGAGAGTAGGGGGTGAATGATGGGCTGCGGTGTGGAAGTGTGAGAAGTACTGTGGGAACGGGAACACAAGTTTTCCGTCTGTTCTCTCATGGAACTGCGTTGTAGGTATAAAAAAATACGAAGCGTGCCTGCTTCTGAGCTTCCCTTGGCTTCAGGGTGTGTCATAGATCCTGCGAGTAGGCGGGATGAAGGAAAACGGGGCAGCACAGTGACTTCGACCTGCCAGGGTAACGCAGTTCTGGAGTCCCATGCAAGTGCCCGCCGGGAGAGCAGGCAGTGTAGTCCTTGGCTGCTGTTTTTAACAATAGAGGTGCTATATAGGCTTGCAAACGTTGCTGTGATGTAACACAGCAAAACCCGTCCCTGCGTCCAGGGCCCATCCATAACAAGGAAGCTGCTGGGACGGGAGGTGACATCCCCAGGAGGAAGGGCAGGGGCCTCTGCTGCTCCTTTGCGAGCAACTTCCACAGCTGGGGTCTCGAAACCGGCGGTGGCAGTTGGAATTGAAGAGTTGTGCACAATGAACTACATTCGTTTTGCTAAGAACTTTTGCACAAGGTGTTCAAAAACCCTTCTACATAATTCCGTGCTGTTAATTTGTCCCACCTTTGTTAATGTGAATGATACTCTTCTTTGCATTTCCACAGGTGTATGTGAGGACATATAAGAAGGAAACCTAAGATAAATATTGACTTATCCTCCATAGTCTTCTCAGGTTCAAACACAGTGTGCTAAAAACACCTTGCACCTCACTGCAAGCATTTACACTGTCATTCAGCACACGCTGATATTACATATTCAGTTTGTCACCTCTCAGCTTCTCCACAGTATTGCTTTGCAGACAAGTTTCATGCTTGTCTGAGGCTCTAAAATGAGACTGAAAGCTGATGAAGCTTCAAGAAGAGACACTGCAAAGGAGGGGAGGAGGAAAAGCTCTTGCTTTGGCAGTGCTGCTGTTCAAGAAAGTGCAGAAAAATTATCAGCCCTGTTACTTTGTGGGTTGGAACACAACTGACACATCTCAACAATTCAGTTTTTGCACTGAGTAGGTTAAGGAGTGTTGCAATGTTGAGGAAAATTCTCAGAAAAATGTTTAATGTGAGATTTTGTGTACTTCTGAAGTGGAAGTGCTTGGAATACATTAATCAATTGTTATTGCAGTTGTATAGCTCTTTAGATGTCAGTGTAATGCAGAACGTCAGATTACATACATCTTGTCCAGTGCAAACACTGTTGTGATTATTTGGGTGTTTGTTTCTTTCTAGCTAGCTCTGGCTTGCCATTGTTGTCTGGGTGAACAAATATTTTGCCTCTGTCTCTGGAAGGAAAGGTTGGAGTGCTTGTGCAGGGCTGAGGAAAGCAAAGCTTGGTCACTTCTTGCTTTTGCTTTTGGCGTGGTCTGGTGCCGTAGAGAGCCATGTTCTCCAGCTTTCTTCATGCTTTGTTTGGTGATGGGAATTTGTTTTGCCCAATAGCTTTTTTGGGCATCAACTGTAGGTTTCCATTTGTGAAGGTGGAGGTGATAGTTCAGGGGCCGTGCGGGGTTGTAGCACGTGTTCTTACGCATCACATACTGTAAGATGTTCAGGTATAACTGTGCTGATGGGCAGGCGTGTAAGTACACACTGTATTTGTGCGCTGTGTTTTAGACTAATAAATACACTGTTGTGGGGACTAACGAATCATTATTGCGTGGCTAATTTGCTCTTATTTTGTCTGTAAAAGCAGGAATTGCTGTCATAAAGAGCTGTATCCTTAAATGTCAGCTTCTTGGCTCTGCTTTTAGGCAAAATCCACAGCTCTTCTGGTGGCCGTGATTAGCTGCTTTGCCTTTGGAGCAGTGATTATACAAATTCCTGTCAATTCTGTAATGCTGAGTTTTGGTTATGTGAAGTTTTTCTAATTTTGTTTTAGGCAGACACTTAGTTTTTCAAACTAAGTGAACTATATTATATTGTGTTCTTTGGGCAGGCTTTCAAATTACATGTAATTTTGTTCCCAAAAGGTTGCAGTTCATTTTGCTAGAGTTCCAGATTTGTAATGCTGCAGTCATTTTGCATGTGGTGAAACCTAAAGGTTACCAGCTCTTTTACTTCCTTTTCATTTGCATGTTTTTGACTCCTGCAGTTCTACTGAGAGAAATGCCCCGCTTGCACTGCTCCCTGGGAGGAAGAGCTTCCCTCACCATATCACAGTGGAGAACAGATGTGTTAACACAGAATCAAAGCTTAAAATTGCTGTTTGGGGTTTATTGGTGTTTTTTTCTCTTTGTTTATTCATGAACCACCTAAGCCAGGAAACATTTAAGGGGCTAGATTAATTTTATTATTTTTAAGATGATCTCAGTTAGTTTCTCTAGTGCTGAATCCAACTGATCTAAGGTTGTTTTGCTTTTTATGGCCATTCATACATACGAGATTCCCAGTTTAGCCCATACTATGGAGATCTGTACCAGAATGCCTGTATCACTGGGGATGGTTGGCAACCAGGGAAAATGAAGCCTGAGTTATGCAGTTTCTCTTTGCTTAAAACCAAGGTTCTTTGCATTTGTGCAGCCTCATTCCATGTCAAGCTGTTTCTGTCCCATATGAAGATGTTGGAGTGGTGACGTTGGCAAGAATTGTTTTGAACAAGTACAAGTGAAGAACAAGTACTTCAGATTTTTTCAAAATGTGAATTTATTTAATGTACTTCATTCAGAACTTCTATGTGAAGTTCTCTTAAAGTTGTGCCTTTGGAATACATTGACCAAGGGGGAAGATTGTGTGTAAGCTGGCAAGATGAAGTTGCAAAGGCTTCTGTGAAAAACATTAGGGATTTGTGTTCTTCCTTGATTAGGGTATCACTATGCTTCTTGCTGAAGGGAGTTTTCTTCCTAGTTGCAAATTGCAGCCAGTAGGAGAGCAATGGGTTTTGTTATCTGCAAAAAGCAGAGTAGAGAGGACATTTATTTTGGGATTCTTTTTGTCTGTTGCTTTCAGCTGATAAGTTGTCAACTACCTACATTCTCAGACTGGCTTGAAATTTTTTTCCTGTCCTTCCTGTTAGTTTTTCTAGTTATTCATCATACTTTCAAATACCACACTGCTCCCAGCGTTATATCTATCTGGTTTGGCCTCCAGCTTTAAACAGTCTTCTAAGGGTCTAAATGTGTCCAAATAACTGCAGGATAATTGAAAATGTGTTTTTTCATCTAGGTTTTTAATTTTAGCCCTTTCTCTTTTGCACGTACTCTGCTGTCGGGATTTCCAAGATACTCTGTGCCAGTAGCAACCCCAGGACATCCCAGGCAGCTACAGAGAAGTGAAATTGTCATTGAGTATCTTGTGCAGCTGAATATTTCAAATAAATGTGGTTTTTAAGTTCCTGCTTTGTATTTTCTGCTTACTCAGGTCCTTTGGAAATTGAGATCTGATTGGAGCCAAGAACTGGCAGTAATTTGTGGCTGCTGGGCCATCTTCCTTTCCCTTTGAAAGCCTTGTACAACAGAAGTTAGCTTGTTGACCCAAGTAATGTTTTCTAAACAAATTCCTTGTGCTTACACTGGCATATGTCAACAAAAACATACAGCCCGCTAAACTGTTTGTTTATAGAAGTGCTGCTCTCTTACTAATTTATAAATGCCTTTAAAAGGCCATTTAGAAGATAATGCAGAAGGAGCTGTAGGGCAGGTACCTGTCTCAGCAAATTGGTTTATTTGCCTTTGATACTGTGGCTATCTCAGAATAACAGGGTGGCCTTGGGAATGACTGCTAGCTGTTTGCTGTTGTGTCTTCTCATCTGGCAGCCGAGATGTGACTACATTTGCTCTGAGAAACACACTTTTGGGGAGAGGTGTGATATGTAGCACAGAAATTCACCCTCCTTTGTACTTCAGCAGGTAGTCTCATACTGCTCTTCTTCATCTTTTTGATCCAGCACAGATTCTGTAGTAAGTCAGTGGGTTGTGAGTTATTCTTGTATGTGCATATATAATTACCTACAAAACACTAATTGCTTTTGGAGATTCTGGAAATTTCTAATAACTGCATTCATTCATTCTTTGAAACTGGTGTCAATGGTGTGACTTCCCAAAATCGTTGGTGTGTTTTTTCCAACAGGAAAGATGACAGAAGAGAGACAAACTGAGGTGTGCATGTCAAATCAGTTGATAGAATACTAGAAATTGTTTCCCTTTTCTGAGTGTCAGTAGGTGCATGTTTTTGGTGTTTGTGTGACTGTGGCAGTTCCTAAGAAAGTAAAAGAAAAGCATATATAATTACCTACAAAACACTAATTGCTTTTGGAGATTCTGGAAATTTCTAATAACTGCATTCATTCATTCTTTGAAACTGGTGTCAATGGTGTGACTTCCCAAAATCGTTGGTGTGTTTTTTCCAACAGGAAAGATGACAGAAGAGAGACAAACTGAGGTGTGCATGTCAAATCAGTTGATAGAATACTAGAAATTGTTTCCCTTTTCTGAGTGTCAGTAGGTGCATGTTTTTGGTGTTTGTGTGACTGTGGCAGTTCCTAAGAAAGTAAAAGAAAAGTAACTCCTGCGGAGCTGGAAAGGGTGCAACTTTTCTGTGATCCTGCTTTTCAGGTGGCCTACAGCCTGTGCAACAGTGCTACAGTGGCCTACAGCTCTGTGCAAAAGTGTCTGGTGTCAGTGGTGTCAGCATTCAGTGGGTGGATAAACAAACAGCTTTGTGCTTCTGTGATGACAACTGGTGAGGAAACATTCAGTACTCCCGCAGACTGAAATGGAAAAAAGATACTTACTGTAGGAATGGGAAATTTATACCTTTTAAAAGCTGTGTTTATCATGATAAGCACAGGTAATACATCTTGAAAAAGAGAAAAAGTGAGTACATTCTACACAGGCAAGATATAATTTACTTTTTTTTCCTTTTTACTTCAAGTAAACAATTTTGAAGCAATTATCTTCACATTTACTGCCTGGTCACTTTAGATCAAAGTTACTTCAGTCTTCACATTCTAGTCAGATGGAGAGAAATAAATGGTCTTCTTTTAAGAAATGGTTTGTTTATCTGCAGAGTAGGCAGCAGTTTCATTTTCCTGGTATCTCCCCCTTGGTATTTAGAAAGTAAGAGATTGCAAAGCTGATTTAGAGATCACAGAAGCATCTTTAAATATCTTGTATGTTTACCAGAACGAAGGAAAAAAAATGCATTGCCCTTCTTCCTAGCAAATCAAACTAAATGTATCATGAGGACATCACTTTGGTCAGAGTGCCATGCTGGGGAAAAGACAAGTGCTTTCCGTGTACCCGAAGTGATTATGCCATGCTGTTCACAGAGCAACGTTCCTATGATTTTGTTGAGGTTTCTTTTTTTCTGCAGCCTGACCTGACCTCTGTACCTTCTCATGCAGACTTCATTATTTGATACTCTGTACTTGATGTTTGAACCAGCTTCTGTCTGCCTGTGACAGCACAACTATTGACATATTCCATGGTGCTATCTGTGGAAAAAAGACCCTTTTTATAAAGCATATCCCTCAGCTTTACTTTTTTGTCCTAAATAGAAGAATAAAGGTCCCTGAGATTCAGCAGCATCTGCACTCCTCGGAACCTCTGTGGGTCCAGCTGCTGCTCCTCTGGACCCACAGGGCTGGAGCCCCTCATGTGAAGAAACACGGTCATGGCAGGATTCCTGATCCAGGGAGCAAAGTTGGGTTAGCAGTTGGGGCAACTCCGAGGGTTGCGGTGACGAGGGCAGAGAGAGGTCTGGGAGCTAGGCTGAACGAGGTAGGGTGTCGGTGCCAAAGGCCTGCTTCAGCTGGGAGTGGAGCAGAGAGTTCAGCTAGCTTGGGGTGTTTTAAGTTAATTGCAGTAAATGAAGAGAAACGTAACTGTCTAAAAGTGTTTGAGAAGATGGCAAACCCACTGCATAACCACAAGGTAGTTCAGCTTCCTTTTCTGCAGATAGTGTCTGTCTGCCGTGCCCAAGACAAGGAAACAAACTGAAAGAAGTGTTTGCAAACCGTAAAATGAAAGCAATTACAAAAATACAAGTCCAGTGCAAGGCATACACCTGTAATGAAATAAACACTGTGAGTAGTTGCTGTCCTGAATGCTGTACCAAAGGCTAGCAATTCTGAATCAGCCGAGTGTTGGAAGTCAAGGATCTTGATCAGTGGCTGAGGTAAACCCATGATGCTGCTAACATAGATTAAAAAATTGAAACGTAAAGGCAGTCATCTCTCACAGCTATGTCATAAGAGCTGTGTATTTGATTTGTATATCTTAGCTGTGTTTAAGTAGAATGAATACCTGTGAAATAGCAAGGTTAGGAGTTTATCTTAGTTTCTCAATGCATCAGCTTCAATTTACCACCTCTGCCCCCGCAGCTTTTCAGGACTTTAAATCGCAGATAAAACTACCAGGAAGTTGTTAGCAACTCACCAACTTCTTAAAAGACAATAGCAGTTTTTAAAGTTTACACTGAACTTAAGAACTGACAGAACCGAGGGAGATTAATTCCCCAGCTCTGTAAATAAGATTGTTTTTTTCATAGCACTGCTTATGCTAATAGTTTTAACCAAAGGCAGGAAGTCTTTAAACTTGGGGAGGGAGGGAATGGAGAGACAGCCGTTAGTGATCTTGAACAATCTCTGCTGCTGCCACGCGTGAGAGGGTGGGTGTGTCTCTTCTGCCTTCCTCTGCTTTGATTTGAGTGCTAAGTGGCCCTGAATTTCATTTAAACGGAACACTGAATCGAGTGCTTGGAGACCTTTTGTGAGGAGCTTTTTTTCCTCAGTAACCGACTGCCATCAATCAACCCTACACTGCATCCATGTTACATTAGACTTTGCTTTTTTAGTTTAAATGAGTCATGACCTATTCAGGCATCACGTTACTTGTGTTTGTGGCACTCCTGGCAGTTTGCTGGTTGGTTTGCAAAAAGCTTTTGAAGCCCTAGCGCGTTCCCTGTAATATCCCAAAGCGTAAGCCTTGCTGTAGCTGCAGCACGAGGAGACTGAAGATGCAGTATTTTCTACCACTTTTTCTTTTCCTCACTTTAATCTGTTTTTTGTGAGACTGTTCTCCAGTATTCTTTATTGTAGCAATTTTACACTTTATCTGAAGTTTGACCTGCTATAGGATGTGAAACTATAGTTCATGTTTAGGTGTTTGTGCTGTAGTCAGAAGCCAAAGGTGTGTACTCAGTGTTGGTAGCCTTTCTGGTGTAATAAAATCAGGTGTGCTTAGATTGCAGTTTAAAGGCTGAAGTTTTAGGCTTTGGCTTACAATGACCTGTGACTGTAAGCACATTGGAAATAGGACTGAGCTGGAGTAATACAAAGAGACATCAAATAGTCCAGGTTCTAAAACTGAATTGTAGCTGTTAAAGCACGCATGCTCCTTGAAGTACCAGCCCAAGCTATTCTTCGTGCCAGTGGAAGTGTAAAGTGAGTACCTTTTGCTATATATCAGACCCTGGTGCCACTTTAATCTGGGAAAACCCTCAGAGATGTAGATGTTCAGCATTTCACAATGCTGCATATACTGTAGCTTGTTTCCTTGTGAGTTGCTTACCTTTTCTTCTGCAATGGCCATACTACTTTTCTTGTAAACAGAGATGTTCCTTGAGGATTCCCCTGAGCCAGCTGATGAAAGCTGTAATCTCATTTGCATTCAAATGTAAATACAGCTTTGGGTTGCTGGGAAGTAAGTTGTTACAGCAGTGCACTCTACTGCTAACAATTACAGCACATCTTGCTTTACTTGGCATTAATGACTGATACTTTATGGTTTTATTGACAGCTTTTGTGCAAGTTATGAATAGTCATAATTAATGCGAGGAGTAGCTGCATAAACTCAATAAAGCAGATGCTATCAAAAGTTATTAACACGCTTAAACAAAAATGCTGATGTTGATTCTTCATATGCTGCTAATAATTTTGAATGTTGTGTAACATATAGAATACAAGCCATTAGATACTGCTGTTGGCCTTTGTGGTGTTCCTCATAGTTTCTAGATTTTGGATGAGGCTCTGCAGTGGTGGGTTAGCCTGTTGTGTAATCCCATGACTCAAGGTCTTGAACTTTTAAGAAAAAAAACACAGCACTTTGTGGCAGCAGTCAGACCAGCAAGATCCACTAGAAGAAGCCAGCAGCAGTGTGCTGGTTCACAGGTCAGTGCATGCTCTTGTAGCACAAGATAATATTATTTGTAAATGTGCAAGATAAAAGTAATGCATTTCTTCAACACAGATTTGAAGTACCCTATATGCACAAGCAATACAAGGGTCTGGGAGTGGCCATCATAAAAAATAGTTAACCAGCAGGTAGCTATTCCTAGACTTGAAGCTATCTTCTTTGGTGCTTTTTAATTTTGTTTGTAGGCAAACTCAAAAGTGGGATGGCAGGTCAGACATTATACTTAAATCAGGTGTCAGAGGGGCTCTGTTGCTGCTGTTAGAAATTTACTGATGTATGTCATTTAAAAGAAAAAAAAGAAAGCAGTTTCTCTAGTGTTGCTGAGACCACACGTAGCCCAGCCAGATGCAGTTGGGCCTCGTCTGGCTCCTGCTCCAGGCCTTGGCTGTGCAGCTGAGCCCTGTGGAGCCATGAGGGTCGTGCTGCTGCAGCGCTGCTTTCCTGGCCGCTACTGAGTTGAGACATGTTTTTCAGTATCCTCAGGGGATCCACTTCCGGGGGAAGCTGCAGTTGGAGGAACTTGTTTCGGTTTGTTCCCTGCCTTTGTGTTCTTGTGTCCCCTGCATTCATGGAAGCAGAAAAATCTGATGTCTGAGTTCAGGAAAATTATGATTGAATCCCAACAGCGCATATTCTGAGGGATGGACATGTTCAATGACAACATTTATTCAAGGGCAATGGTGAAAACACAGAATGTATGCACTCCTGTTTAGCCCAAGCTATCAGTATTTAGTGGGCAGTTTGCCTACAATGTTAGTGGTCCGTTGATAGTCCTCGGTATCTGCATTTCATGTTGCAGATGGTCTTGGATGCAGATGGGGCTCTGTGGGCATGATTATGCTTTTCACTGTGACTCGTTCTGAGTGGGCTGCTATATGCAGAAAACACTGTGTCTCCGTATGGATCTCGGAAGCAGCGTGTAGCTGCTCAGTGTGTTGGTGCACCTGGACCAGAAGCCCCTTTATAATGGTGCAGTGTTTGTCTAGTATGTGTGTTCTCATCACATTAGGAAGAGAGCAGTGGTACCAGAGCTTGTTTCAAGTTCTTGCTTCAGGAAGCCACTTTTTGTCTGAGTGTCAAATTCACAAGGTAACTTGAAACAAAAAATGTCCTTAACCAAAGTAGGTTGTAGGGTACAGAAGACTTTTTCCCTCTGTAGTTCTAGCAACGTTCTGTGTCCACATTCAGTCACTTGGCAGCAAGTAGTCCTTGAATATTTTGTGAGTGTGTATTTTTCTTAATGTCACAGCTTCTCAGAAACACTAGGCACTTACTTTGTAAGCAAATGATATGCTGTGTGCTTGTCTTTCATTGTGCTTTGAGCCTTAAAGATGGACTTGAATTGTTTTTTCAAGGTCTCTCATAGGCAAGATGATAATACATTATTTTATGAAAACTGAGATTTTTATCTTGTAGAAAACTATTACAGAAGATCTGAAAAAAACAGCTTGAGGATTTGGAGTGTATGGATGTCTGTGAGTAGCTGATGGGTATTGTTTTGCTGTCTGGGATTGGACTTTTTAAATTTATTTTTTAAGTTGGTCAGCTGTATTGACCTAAGTTAAAGATTGACTAGATGGAATGTGAAGGGTGTTGTTTCAAAATGGAATGAGTTTCAGCATTAAACTGGTTTTCCAAGTGAAGAAAGTGTGATTATTGCCTTGATAATGTTTCAGATATTTTCTGTCAAGTATTTTTTGTATCATTCAGCTTTAGTATTCAGCCTCTCCTACCTAAGGAGAGAGTCAGTTAATCTGTACTAGCATCATTTAACATAAAGTCTGCTCAAGCAGATACTGTTTTGCTAGTGGAATTTACAAACTCTGCTCAAATTAAGAAAACATACTAGTCAAAAGACTATTTTTGCTGGTATAGCTCCATTTGCAGTAGGAATTCTGCTTTTTGAAACCTGTAACCAGCAAGGATTTTCTAGTCAAAGTCCTAGAGCTGTTGAAATCCAAGAGACAGATGTTAAACCTAGTAGAAGATCTTTGAAGGAAAATGGATCAGTGTAATTATTTACCTGTTTTGCATACATGAGATGCTTGTATACTGAGAGGTTTGTGGCTGTTACTATAGTACAAAATGTCTTTATCTGTAGAAGAGAAATAGTAATTTTTTAGGACATTGAAATTTCCATAAATAGGAGACACAACATTGTAATCATGTTTTTTAGTTTAATTTACACCTTTTACTAGTCAGCTCTTTACTTTGAAAGTTTACTGTTTGTTTTGTAAGTTGTAAATGCAAAATACTTAAATTAGCATAGTATCATAATATTAGCATACTTGCACATTTATTTTTTGTCAGGATACTTAAAATTACAGGGAATATGAAAGAGTATGAGGAGTGATGCTCTGATAAACATAAAGGCAACTCTCAACCTGATACCTAGCTGTGTTTTGCTGTTGATTGATTGTTTTCTGTGTTGCAGCTGATAGCTTTGATAATTAATGGGAGAGAAAAGTTGAATGGATTTTATTAGACATTTCTGAGCTAGTAGTGTAGCTAAAAGACTCACACATCTACATCTATGTATCCTGTGTCTTTGTTGAGGTGTTTCCTGATGATAGCTATATCAATAA